GCAAGCAGGGTCAGGGAGGCACGCTTGCTCCATACCGTGCTTACGGCCATACACCTTGAGAATGCCGATCTCGTCTGATCTCGGGAAGCTAGGCAAGGTCGAGGCGAGGGGGCCAGCCGCGTATAGTGGGCATATTGTTGATGGCACCTGAACTGAAACTCTATTTTCTATACAGATTGTTTTGTTAAATTCTACTGTTGTTTGCCCTGAAATATGATCAATAAAAAGAAAAGACTTCAATATGGTATGACATTTATAATATATTTATTGTGATCAGTGAAAAAGAGATATTTACAAATTTAAGAAATAACCATTAGAAGGAAAAACAACAACATGCTATCTTTTATCTTCTTGTAAACTAGTATTTGTGTGTGAGCCTTGTACTGGACGGCTGAGAGGGACTATTACAGAACTGTTGATGCAGCTTACGATATGTCATTATATAATTTGATATAATCAATGATTAAGTATATATTTAATTAATAATTAAAATATTTATAAACATTTATGGAAACCTGGACAGGTATAATATAGTATAAACTATATACAATAGCACCAATTGACAGCAGAGAGTCAGTTATTTCACGCCACCTTTCACTCTCTCCGGTCATAAAAAGGAGACTGCTGGAACATCTGAGTCTCCATCCCCTGGTCCTTGTACTGGGAGATACTTTGGCAGGGAGTAGATGTATTTTCCTGTCAGACCAGGGGGAATGGTGTATGAATTGTGAGGAACTGGTCCTCGCTTCAGATGTTTCAGTTTGACAGAACCGCACTTTCTCCAGTGGAGGAGCGACTATCACTCTCCTTTTCTTCTCCTGCCGCTCATTCACTCTCTGCTTGCGTGGCCTCCACTCTCTCTGGCAGAACTCAGTGTCCATAAAGTCTGGAATGGCATCCTGGAGTGGGTCAAACCTCTGTGCGATAGGTGTTATAGACTTGGTGGAGCAGTAGAAATACCTGGGTAGGACCCGGCTGTAAAACTCGTGGATGGAGCTGCCATCGCCCTCATTATTGGGATTTTGGCTGGCCACATGACAGGCATTTCTTTGTTGGGGTTTATTTGTGGAGGCTGCTGCTGCTTTTCCAAGATCCGCTGAACAACCTTTCTCTATGGCTCCTCAGACAGGGTTGACATGATGTCTGGCAGGAGGAGGGGGGTTCACTGCTGCTGGGGGCCTGGTGACAACAGGCACTGTGCAGGCTTACTGCTGCTGTGAGCGATGGTATTCCCACTGGCACTTCGGCCTTGTCTGAGGCATCACCTCCTCTCACTCGCACCAGAGTGAGGCGTTTCTACCTCATCACTCCTCCTCTGTGGCAGCACGCACTCACCTCATGGACGGGTCGTCCCTGATCTTCCTCGACTCCGAAGGTCCTTTGCAGCAGGAATCCACGTGGGCCCCTTGTCGATAAATTCACAGGGTCGCGGCCAGGAAAGAAATGAAAAATAAAACAATTGTCTTCTTATATTCCTGTACAGGCCACCACAGTTCATGTTGCGATTTTATTGCCAATTTTACTGAACTACTTTCATTGTGTGCACTGATTTTGATAGTTTAGTTATTAAAGGTGATTTTAATGTTACATGTTGATTATGTTGATGACAGATAATGCAAAGGAGCTGGCTTTGTAATTGAGACCTTTGCGTTTCATTCAAGACACATGAGTGGGCCCACCCACAGCAGGGGGCTCTCTCTTGACTGCTAATTACAAAGGGGGTTAATGTATCAAATGTTAAATGTCGTTGATGTTGCTTTGTCAGATCATTTCTGTGTATTTTTTGACATGTGTTTTGCTAGCAAACCACCAGCTGAATTTACAATGCTAGAGAAGACACATACATGAAAACAAGGTGAAGCTGTTCATGGAATGCTAAATTTTGAGGAAAACTCATGCTCTTACTGTTGATGAATTGTTATTAACTCTGTCACCACCAGTGTTTCTGAAATGTTCTGGACGCCCAGTGCTCCTGTGACGGTTTAAATAGTTACCAGTAAGAAATGGCCCATGGGACTAAGGCAGACTCTGGTCAGGGCACAGAAGCAAGAGTGCCCGGAGGGCGAACGGAAGTGGCGAAAAGTCCAACTTTCAGGCGAGTCTGAAATCTTAAAGTTGAGTTGGGTGAATTTAACGGGTTCTACGAAGAACAAGGAAATGTATTTTTCTGAACATTTTATTGGAGGTTGCGTAGTAACAATTTTCGTGTTATGTTTTTCAACAGTGGTAGATTAAGAACCCCCCTGTAAAGTTTGCCCCTAGAATTTTTCCTCTAAATCTTGGTGTAATGAGTTAGGCACAGTTTTTCGTTGACAAAGTACAAGGAATCAAATCACTTCACCTCCACCAGCACGTATAACAATGCAACAGCAGAGAAGCTTTTTGAGTAACTACTTTGCACCTGTGGATACTGAATGTCAAAGATATTAATGAGTTCTGAGCTCCTCCAAATTAGCCTGGATTATATGGCCCTCTATATTTCTGAAGTCCGTCCTGAGCAGTTTGTTACCTTTCACTGACACAAAGAGTAAACATGTCTCTGTGTCAGGAACATTTCCTTTATGGCCCTAAAGCAGCAGTCATAAGACCTCTCCTTAAAAAGGCAGTCTGGATCCTGCGGGACTTCAAATTAATCGCCCATATCGAATCTGCCATTCATTGGAAATTCTTGAATAAATAAAAAAAAAAAAGTGCATCCAAACAAACTTACTGAATTTTTAACAATGAATAATTCCTTTTGATATGTTCCAGTCTGGGTTTAGACCCCACCACAGCACTGAGACCGTCTAGTGATAGGTAACAAACGCATTCGACTTCTCACTGATGCAGGGAAAGTCACAGTTTTGGTCATGTTAGATCTTAGTGCCGCGTTCGTTAGACACTGTCGACCATGAGATCCTATGCAGAGACTGAGGACTGGGTTGTGTCACTGGCCAGCCTAGACTGGTTTAGGCTTCTTACCTGAGGATAGGAAGCCTAATTTGTGGGATTGGAGTCTGGTCTCAGATCATTGTTGCCCTGACTGTGGAGCTACCACAGGGGTCGATCCTGGGACCTCTCCTATTTAATCTCTACATGCTGCCGTTAGGTCAGTAATTCAAAGAAACAAAAGTGTCCTACCACCAATCTACGCCGACTGACACTCCAGATCTATGTTCACTGACTGCAGGAGGAACATGGACACGGATTTGCTCCTTCCTGTATCCAACAGTTCAGTGAGGGGATGCAAATAAATTTCCTCCAGCTAAATGCAGACAAAACCGAATCATTGTCTTTGGTCCCCAGAAACAAAGAGAGGGCGTCATCTGTCCAACTTCAGTCTCTCTCCCTCTTCCTTCAGACAAGGTCAGAAAATTTGGGGGTAAATATGGACTCAGACCTAAATTTCAATAGCCACATAAATCAATAACATCAACTGCTTTTTACCATCTGAAGAACATTGCCAAAGTCAGAAATATAGTGTCCAGGAGACTTGGAGATCGTGTCCACGCATTTGTCTCCAGCAGGCTAGACTACTGCAATGGCCTGTTACAGGTCTGTCAACAGGACCTGTAAGCAGTCTGGCAGTACATCCAAAATGCAGGGGGGGGGCAGCTAGAGTCCTGACAGAATCCAGGAAGTATGACCATTTAAGTCGGTCCTCAGGTTCTCTGCCACTGGCTCGCCTGTGGCTCACTAGAATAGATTTTAATACAGCTCTGCTTGTTACAAGTCTCTCCATGGCTTGCACCAGAATACATTTAGTGACTGTTGGTGTATATGACCAGCCCGGACTCTGAGGTGCACAGGGGACTGGCCTCTGATGGTGCCCAGAGTGTGAACAAAACATGGGGAGGCTGCGTTCAGATCTATGCAGCTAAGATCTGGACAATCTCCACTGAAATATATGTGAGGGAGGCGTCTCACTCTGTCAATGGTTCAAATCCAGGTTAAAGACTGTTCTGTTTGCCTGTGAATACACTGAAGGATTTTATCTCCATTTGTTAATGCACTGCTGTCATTTATTTATCTTTTTTTTTTAATTTTCTTGTGTACTTTGAAAGTGTTAATGGTTTATTCTTTTGTGTGATTTTATTGTTTTTATTGTGTTTTAATCTTTTGTGTGATTTTATTGTTTTCAATTGTGTTATGGTGGTTTGTTTTATGTGTGATTTGTGATGTTGACTGTGAAGCGCTTTGTGTTGCCCTGTGCATGAAAAGGAGCTCTACAAATAAACTTTGATTGATTGATTGATTCATATTGTCTGCAAACAACAAAAAAAAGATCATAAAATTTCTAGGCTATCAGCATATAGAGAAGTATGTATAATGTATATTTCTTTAGCATAATACAGAATAAAATATTACATTTGCATATAAGAAGCAGAATCCTGTAGTAAGTCTAGAGAAGACTTATACAGTTGTATGTTTACATTGGACTTTTGCACGACATGATTGACTTTATTGATCTCACAATGGAGAAATGTACATGTCACATTTGGCATAGATAGAATTACTCAGATTATGCAAAAAGATAGAAGTATGAAACCTGTTAAAATTAAACATGTTAATGTTAGATCCTCATTAACTCTGCTCAATATGCAACTGATATTGACATTATGTATGGTCTATCTTTCAGATGGGGATGTCAACAAGAGAAGACAGCAAGGCAGACGTATGAAGCCTGGGCCTCATCACAGCATCAGGACCTGCAAGTCTGTGACTCTGGTCTGCACATCCACCCCAGCTGGCCCTACCTCGGAGCATCTCCAGATGCCTTGTTGTCCTGTAGCTGCTGCGGCGATGGTGTGTTAGAGATAAAATGCCCACACAGTGCTAATACTGGAGTCCTCAGTGCCACAGACAATCCAAATTTTTATATTAGAAATACAAATGGTTGTTGTTCTCTTAGCCAAGATCATGCATACTTTTACCAGGTGCAAGCTCAGATGTTTGTGACAGAGCGAAAATACTGTGACTTCATGGTGTGGTCCGAATCAGATTATTTCATACAGAGGATCTTACCCGATGCTGCCTTGATGAGAGAAACAGTACCCAAAGTAGAACAGATGTTTAGGTCCGCTATTCTTCCAGAGCTATTGGCAAAAAAATATACATGCCCTTGCCCACAACCACAGTCTGATGAAAGGCTTAACTCCAGCATACTGGAAGAGAGTGAAGAGTAATGTGGCCTGATTTTGTTTTTGCTTTCCACTCAATATCATTTAAACAAGGCCTAATGTTTTATTGTGGCTCATTTATTTGTAGACCCGTTTGTCATTCTTAAATCAAAGTAAATGTAATAAAGAGGCTTAAAGTTATAGTTGCCATTATGAAATGTTTATTTTTACATACTTTCGCATCACATTACCATACAATCACATTGGTCAGGGTTGTCATTTACCCAGTTAAACAGAAAAACACAACTTGAATAGATGGTACCGATGACAAAGAGAAATTAGATAACATGTATTTTACATTAATTGATTGGCACAACTGAGGGGCACAGATTGGTTAGTGCACATGCTACACGCACTATTTTGTCCAGAGTTGTGTACTCTGGATCATCAGTGGACAGGAGACTGATAGGCACAGGTCCATGCAACATCTTGTACTTGGAGCGAGCTTGTCCAATCACCCTCTCCACATGTATGCGCACAGCAGCAAGTCTTCGGGTGTCCTCCAGTTCAACTGCTCCGAGCTGTTTTTTTCCTCGTGTAAAGGCAGGGGTTTCAACTTTGGCACAATACAGACCAACCAAGTTCTGAATTGTAAAGCCTCGATCAGCAAGGATTAAGTCACCTGGTGAAAGGTTGTCCAAAAAGCCACTGTGCTCTGTGATGTATGCATCTGTTGTTCGACCACCCCAGCCCCTTGAGATGAAGGAGATAGTGCCTTGTGGAGTGATACTAACAAGGTATTTAATTGTGTTGTGGGATTTATACTGCGAATATGTCTGCGCCCTTGCCTTCAAATCCTTAGGTTTATCCATGAATATCTCAAAACAGTCAATGACTGCCATACAATGCTGAAAAGACTTTCTGAAACACATGGGCATGGACACTTTAACATGTTCTCTCTGGGGCCATATTACACACAAAGGAACTAATATATCATTAAGAATATGTATGACATTTGAAAAGACTCTAGAAATAGTTGAGGAGTGAACTTCAAAGAGATATGATAAAAAAGAATTTGGTATGTTGAGTTTGACTTTCATTAATGTAATTAGTAGCTGTTGGAAACAAATCAAATTTATAGTGTCTTTGAGAGCTGGACTAACAAGGTTGAACACTGCCATGAATACTTCATAGCTGTGTAGTCCAGTCAGTGACTTCAGCTTGTCCTTGTTTTTCAAGCCATTCTGTTCAAAGATGTTAACATGTAGCCTCTGTTTAAGTTCAAATGTTTCCTTTCGAAGCATCTGACACTCCAGTGTTAACGACTCTATATGTTTTGAGGTCAGGTCAGTTTGGCACATTGCTTCACCTTCAGGCATGTCATTCTCAGTGAGCTGAGTGGTCATCTCGCTCATCTCTGATGAGAAGTCCGGGAGTGCCATAGCCGCCTCGCTTCTTGAAGACAGCAGGAGTTTCTTCTTCTTCAAGTTCTGTCTCACCTTGAACTTCTCAAGGCTTTGCACAGCACGTCTCCTTGCAGGGGACTTTGTATGTGCAAATACTGAAGGTACATAATCAGGTGACAGGGGATCATCACTCTTCTGTCCTGGAAAAGAGACATGGGTTCCTTATTTACAACAAAGTAGTAATTTACACACACGTATGATGTGTGGTAACGGTTACATCTACAGTGTAAATGTTGCTGGTATCATTAGCGCATTAGCAAAAAGTTCACTTTTCTGTCTACAGCCAATCATGCTAGCTACATATTGATGGAGAGGAAAATAGTGAGCTACAGCAACAACCGTTAGATGTGTCATTGTCCTCCAAAAGCATGAATGGAAAGACAATAAATACAAAATCGTAATTTATTTACCTTGTAAAAAGTGTTCACTGCAAATACGGGAGTACTTGGATGGCTCCCAGTCTTTGCGGTTGATTGCCGCCAACCATCGCCGTCTTCTATCTTCATCACGAGTAGGAATCAGGTAGAAGGAAACATTTGGCTTGTGTCCTTGCCTGTTTGTACACCCCACCGCACTGCACGATATGACCATGTTGGCTCTTATGTGGTGAAACGGTCAAGTTTCCGATGTTCGCGGTAAAATGAATAGCAGTCCAGGCTTAAATAGCGATACTTCCGCCGTCTGTCAAGGTGAGGGGGCGTGGCCGTGACGTCACATGCACTGGGTCAATATAAAACCGATGCATTATTATTATTACTCGACGTCAGAGGCGGAAGAGGTCGGGCCGAGGTAGGACGCGCCTCTATAAAGAGCCGGACCAAACTCTGATTGGCTAACCAGCGGGAGTGCGCACCACTACATATGGATAGGTCTATAGATGACACGCTCCCTGTTCTAATGTCAAACCTGGTGGCCCTAGTGTCGTTTAAACACAACAACCCGTGCAGCTCCATCATGTCTTCTACCACCTGTCCATTCGTATCTGTGCTGTTACTGCCCCACAATTGGTTATGTGCATTAAAATCACCTACCCATACTAAGTGTTGCCCTATCCCACTAAGCATTTCTTCAAGCTCAACAATGTCCAAACTTGCACATGGATTATAAAAGTTCACCACTCCCACCTTTCCCTGGCTCACCAACACATTCACCGCAACACACTCCAATTCAGTGTTTAAAATCAGCCGTTCATATTGCACCCCCACCTTCACAAATATTGCACACCCTCCTCCAGGCCTATCTTCCCGATCTTTCCTTATAGCTTCATACCCAGGAATGACAAAGTCTAAACAAGGTTTTAGCCACGTCTCTTGAATACAAATCACATCAGGCTTTCCCTCTTTCAGCTGTCCTACACATCGTTTAAACTCTTGGCCATTTGCAATAAGGCTACGGGCATTCCACTGGAGGATGTGAAACATTCAGTTATCTGATGCCAGGCCGAAGTGGATCTCCTTCTTCGTCCTCTACTGACGCACTTTGTGAACTGCGCACACTATTCAAATTAAGATGCTCTGGGGAAACAGACAAATCCAAAAATCTCACTGCCTCCTTGGCTATCATGGCCGTAATAGACGAGTTTTTGGGCATTTCCGGTTTACTTCCGGCTTTTGTGTTCTCATTTCCGGTTACGCTCTTTTACTGTTTAAAAACGTGTTTTTCCTTCGTGAATTATGTCTCTTAAATGGAGACATTCGGCGACATTTCTCACGAAAGATTGAGTTTGTACAATTCCCCATCCATCCATGATAACGACTTGGGATGACAACATGTCTAAATGGCCGAAAATCACCACAACAAAAATATTTTCGTACTTCGTTGACTCCATGGCTGTGGATGGAAATGCGATCAACAACCTGAAGAGCTCGGAGGCATATCAGTACCTTCATACACACATGCTGCCAAAAATTGTGGATGAATTTGATGAGGGAAGGCTAGAGTTGTGCTCCAGATATCTAGCTGTTGTAAATTCACCATGACCTGCTCCTACTCGATGTCCTTTGTCATTACTTTCACAAACACGGACTCATTCACCCCCACTGTGTGAAGGACAGGTTCTGCAGGTCTTTCCTTCCTGCTCCTGTCAAACAGCACAATGAGCTGCACATGTCATTCATCTGTAAATATTGAATACTAAAACATGTGCAATACTGAATTTCAGTATGCCCACTTAATGTCACTTTATTATCCTGCGTGTATATAACTTTATATATATAAATATGTACATAATAATTAAACATTTACAGCTAGCTAAGAAATGTAACAGCTATTTCTTTTGTATTTTGTGTGCCCTGTGTGTGCTCTTACTACTGTCTTACTGTTAGGACATGTCAGCTGCAAAGTGCTATTTTTAAAGATAAAGGTTCTCTTATCTTACCCAAGTTCTCTTGTTCATTACTGGACATACTGTAAGACATTTTGACGTTTTCAACATTTTAATTGTTTGAGGAAATGTATACATACAATACAAAGCTGTGGATGGGCTCTCAAACATTTGCTTGGATGCCATCTGATGCCATTTACAAAATGGGATGGGACATGGAATAAAAACAGTTTATAATTTTTTCAGTACAATAGCTACTGCCATAAAGAAAATCAAGTAAGCTTTCAAAAGACGAGAGCGCAGTTACACTTCATGTGGCAGTCTAATCAGTCTAGACTTCATATTAACCAAGGCTGCACAGATTATTAGAATTTTGTCCAACTTCGGAACCATGGTGATGGGGACAGTTTGAGATAAGATTTTAAAAACTTTCAGCCTTCGGATTGCTCGCTCCACATGTATACGGACATTGGCCACTCGTCTCGTACGTGTCACCTCCTCATTAGTCAATTGGCCACGCTTGTGGGTAAAGGCTGGAATATTCAACTTTACCCTCCTCTCATGCAGCAGGTCTCGAATAGTGAAACCCCGGTCAGCCATCACCTCATCACCTGGCCTCAGGGCCTCCAAAAACCCACTATTCATGGTGATGTACTTGTCACTGCTTCTACCTGCATAACCTTCAGATATAAACATGATCAGCCCATGAGGGGAAACAGCAACTAGATATTTCACAGTATTGGTTCCTTTGTAGTGACTAAATGTGGAACTCCTGGAGTTGAGGTTTGTAGCTCTCTGAATAGCTGTTTCAGCACAATCAATGATGCAAGTTGTATTGGGGTAGTTTTCTCTAAAAGATGGAGGCATATTGGCACGAATTACACTTCTCAGGAGCCAGGCAACCATAGGCACAAGCTGGTCCCCCATCGTGTCAATCCAGTCAGAAATCACTGTACTTGCCTTGCTTTTGGACACATTGAAACGGTAAGCCACATCTCCTAACACAAGGTTAAGTTTCAATTTCATGAGGGTCATCAGTATTTGATCAACAACAGGAATATTACACGTTGGTTTTCTAAATGGCAACATTGTTTCCACCAATGTAAAGAAATGAGTCCGAATCATTCCTGTGTACAGCAGCGACGAGTGGTCATCTACTAGCACAGATTCGGCTACGGTCTGAGCCTTTACAGTCTCGGTCTGCGTTTCTTTGTTTCCAATGTCTGCCTTTGCTGATGCGTAGCTGTGGTCGACCATTGACATTTCTTCCCACTGTGTCGCAGCGTCTTTACACTTAGGCTCGTTGACAATCTGGTCCACTAGCAGCACAGATTCAGTGCTCATTTCAGCCGTTTCTGAAAGACAGAAGCATCATGTTATTATGTACTACACATACAACACACACACAACAAAAATATAATCACGGGAAGCGTTTACACTAGATAACCATTTAACATTTAAGTTGTGTTCGGGTCAAATTAGACCGATATGCACATTTAAACACTCATAAAACATTCTTGTTACATCTCATTGCCAAGACTTTATGATATCCGCCACACTTTGCACCTGAATATACAAAATTGATGAGCATCACTTTACTGGAATTTTGAGTCTTTTAGTTAACCTTGTTACATCTGTTGTGTTCCGGTCAAAAGTGACCAACATAGAAATGTATGTGTAAACAGATCATATTTATCCAGACAACACACACACAGACAGCACACACAGACACAGACAGCACACACAGACACAACACACAGACACAGACACAATACACACACACAGACACAACACACACAACACACACCAAATTAAGGGGCGAGAAACGAACATGACTTAAAGGTTAAAAGTAAAAGACTTACCGTGAGAACTTGAGGCTCTATGAAAGCCGGGGTTCCTCTCAAGTTTACGTCTCTTGCGCTGGGGAGGACGCTCGTATCCCAGGAAAAGTTCCGGGAAAGGATTTTCCTCAGTGGGCTTCTTGTCCACAAAGTGATAGGAGCAAACATACACTCTTTTAGGGGGTTTCTTCAACTTTAAAGCAGCTAGCCACATCCTGGACTCGTTGTCAGCTGTTGGCTTCAAAAACAAAGCAAACGGTGGAGCACATCCACATCGGCGTCTTGTAGCTGGTCGATGATCATAACATTCTCCTTCCAGCCATATATTCAAGCGTTTCCACGAATTCGTACAACCACGGACCGCACAGTATGATCCACAACCCAGTTTGCGTTTTCCTATATCCATTTTAAAATCCGCAGAACTTGGAATGATCCTCCATCTTCGGTCTAAACTGCAGTTGTGTAAGCTGCGCCAAGCGCAAACCGGAAGTGAAAAACAGCATAGCGCTTCAATGGCTGCGCCCATGGTTACGCCCAAAAAACTCGTCTATAGCCGAGGGAGTGTTCACTTGCTTGGCTGCCCACAGTACTTCAACCAAGAACGCAAAGAAAGACGTTTTGTCCACAATGAATGAATTTTCTGGTATTTGGGTGTGAGTGGCCACCGGAGGGCGCTTCTGCTCTGCCCCACACGGCTGGCTCACCCTCTTTACTGCCTCTGCATACAGTAGGTCCCATTTCGTTTTGTCGTCTTCATTCACGCTTTTCATGAATCACGCAGCTTCGTGAAACATATTACATCCTATCGCCACTAGGTGGCAGGTTAAGTCCGCTTTAGCTCTGCCAGCGACTTAAACGCTCAGGTATAAGACTGCGTGCAAACCTGTTTTGCCTAGTGACGCACACATGTGGCGCAGAACTAAAAAAGGTCTTGTTATGACTCAAATCATTAATGACAAAATAAAGACTAAAACGAGGATTTATATCGGGATGCCTTTGAACAATTCGGGCGTTCTGCTCTCCCAAAATTTCATCCACTGAGCGGCGCTGTGATCAAAAAATGACACCGTTTGTTGCCCAGTTCACTTCCGGTTGATTTCATACAATGGCGAATATGGCTCACGAAAACAACAAACGATTGACAGTGCCTGAATTGCGTGAAAGGTTGAAGCGAAAGGGTATTTGCAGTGTGGGAAAACGAAAGGAGGAATTGTTGTTGCTAGTTCAACGAGCGGATGGTGTTTATGAAGATTTAGAAGAAGATGACAGCGAGCAGAGTGAACGAAAACGGCTGTGTGTGCGAGTGACAGATGGTAACAATGAGAATGAAGTTCAGCTAAGAGGGAAGAATGTGAATTGGACGGATGATTTGCGCGATATGCCACTAGTTAGAGACGGGAATGTATTTGCATACAGAAAATGACAAAAACACTCAACCATTTAGAGAAAATGCGCCGGGCAGAGAGAACCGGAAGTTGCGAAGGCAAGTGTTACCCATAATGCAACGCAAAATTCAGTCGCTCCCCCGCCCATCGGATGGAATTTTGGGAGAGCAGAACGCCCGAATTGAGACAGCTGATAAAAGTTCACGTGTGATGCAGAATTTTCTACTTTGAATCCGTTCTTCACAGTGTCTCTGTTCGTGTGAATCGGTGGTATAGTGGTCTAGACTGTGCGCTTGCGATGCAGGAACCCGGGTTCGATCCCGGGCTATGTCTTTTTGTATTTATTGCATGTTATCACATTCTATGACAGATTGCTCTAAAAACGGTAAAAGATGAAGGTCAAGACGTTTTTTTGCAGATTATAGCTTAATTGTAAAAATAATCATTTAAGACCACATGTACCCCAATTAAAATAATGTTAGTCTCTTTTTGATGTGGAACTTTTACATGTTTGTCTAAAAAATAGGGAATAAATAAAATTGAAAGGTGATAACCCTGATGTTGATACGCTGAAGAAATACGTTCCAACATCCATTCTTCCCACTCCTAATTTGGACATCAATTGCTTATTTATTTTGCATAAACTATGTATAATTACATTGCTTTTATTTATTTATTGACTGTGACTGCAGTCCCACTTTTGGCCAGATTTTTACATATTGTTCCTTTAAGTCATCTTTTATTTGAGAACAATCACTGCATGAAAAGTGTGATTTTTGTCTCTTTTCTGCCCTGTATATTACTGTGAAACTTCTGGGATTCGGCTGTTGACGGTAGTTTGTTGTCCCCTCCTCCCTCCTCCACAGGAGGCTTTAACATGTAAATGGCAATGCTGTGAGCTATACAAATGCTAATCAGGGTTGAGGGGGTGCACACACACACACACACACACATACACGTTTTTGTTACCTGGTGGGTCCCTTTGACAGGGCCGTTCAGAATGGGACCCATAGACATAATCTTTTTTTACCAAGACTTTAAGTAATACAAAACAGTCAATAGAAACCAAACAACTATTTTAAAGGAATTTTATTTTAGATTTTGTTTTCGAATTGCAGTGATTCTATTTTTGACATAGAATTTAATGCCACTCCATGTCCGATGTCTAAGGTCATCTGGTGAGGCATTAATGCAGGCCAGGCAGTGAGACTTCCCAGGGACCTTTCCAGTCTGTATGAAAGGTGTCATGGTCTTCTCCACAGCCTTCACCTCAGATGCAGACCATGGCTTTCTTACACGTTCTAGGGAGAGAAATAAAAATATATTAGCAATATACACTCCCAGGGTGAGGACCAAGCAGCCTGGCTGTAATCCCCCACCTGGTACACTTACCAGAAGGGGCACTGCCACTACCATGGGGTGCATCTGGATGAATGGTTGAAGGTTCTCCGCTTGAAGTTTCTTTTAGCCCGTCCGTTTGTGAGAGGATCTCTACTGCTCTCCCTGTCGCACAGAAAATAAAAATACAAGTGGCCTTTAGGGGAAAAAAATCATACATATTTTAATAATATCAAGAATTACCTTCAGGCTCAATTTGTATCTGGTCGAGGCTCTTTCCTTCGAATTCCGTCACTCTTCCCTGCTCCATGGCCATCAACACTTTGCTGATTTTGGCCAGCTCCAGTGTCCCCTCTGGTAGTCTGTAATATTGCCTGTGGATGCGAATGTCATGGCCGAGGAAGTTGGCAAGTATGTCCATCTCATTCTCTTTCATATTGAGAACTGTAGACATAGTAGCTATGTGCTTTCTAAGTTTGGTTGAGGATAGCATCTCTGGATGCACCGCACCACATTCTTTGGCTACCTGGCGTAGGGAGTCTGATCCCCTGATGTGGGTGTCTGCGCCCGGGCGGGAAAAGAAGTATGGGTTATGGTCAGAGATGGAACAGGCCCTTCTGTTCTCCACCAGCACCTCCATCGAAGCAATCATTTCAGGAGTCAAAAGAACCGGCACTTTCCGACTTCTTTTCCCTTTAATTTCAATGCGTTGAAAATGCTGACACAGCTTTTTCTCAAGTTGGGACAGTCCCAGAGCAATGTCAGAATGGATCCCAGTCTTACTTCTTAAGGTAAAGGCTGTCAGTGGCATCTTTGAAACCTCACCTTCCCTTCTTCGATTGAAAATGATGACCTCACAAAGAGTCAAAACTGCCAGTTTAGACCAATGCTTAGACGTTGGCTCACTTATTAGGGTTTGCACATATTCAGGTCGACATACCTCAATATGTGCATGCATGGCTCTAACGTCCTCAGTCAGAGGGAGCAGGTCCGGAGTGTTCCACTTGGCTTGCCGGAGGATCTGTAGGGCAGCAGAAGAAACACAGACGTCCCACCTCTTCTCAAAAAGCAGCCGGCTTCGTTGGAGGTTTTTAATAAATAGTTCATCAACACAATGCTCCATTTTTGAGTC